ACTCTATCTAGGACTTCCAGTACTATGCTGAATAGAAGTGGCAAGAGTGAACATCTTTGTTCCTGATCTTAGAGGAAAACCTTTTAACTTTCACCATTGAGGATGTTAGCTGTGAACCTGCCATATATAGCTTTCTTATGTTCCTCCTACACTTATTTTTTTTTTGAGTTTTTATCATGATCAGATGTTGAATTTTGTACAATGTTTTTCTGCATCTATTGAGATGATCATGTTGTTTTTCTCCTTTATGCCAATATATCACAATTATTGGCTTATGTATGTTGAACCACCTTTGCTTCCTTGGGATAAATCCCATTGGATCACGGTAAATGATCTTTTTAATATGCTGTTGCCTTCAATTTGCTAGTAATTTGTTGAGAACTTTTGCATATAGGCCTGTAGTTTTCTTGTAGTGTCCTTAACTGGCTTTGGTATCAGGGCAATGCTGGCCTTGGAAAATGAGTTTAGAAGTATTCTCTCTCCAATTTTTTAGAAGAGTTTGAGAATGATTGGTATGGTTCTTTAAATGTTTGGCAGAATTCAGCAGTAAAGTCATTGAGTCTTGGGCTTTTCTCTGATGGGACATTTTTTATTATTGATTTAATTTCCTTTCCCATTATTGGTCTCTTCAGCTTTTCTATTTCTTCCTGATTCAGTACGGTGACTTGCACATTGCCAGGAATTCATCCATTCCTTCTATGTTACCCAGTTTGTTGGTGTATAGCTGTTCCTAGTAGTCTCTTATGATTGTTTGTATTTCTGTAGTACTAGTTGTTTTCTCTTTCATTTCTGATTTTGAGTCACTTCTCTTCCTTTGTTTAGCTAAAAGTTTGTTGATTTTAACTTTCCAAAAAAAAAAAAAAAAAAAACATCTTTAAGTTTCATTCATCTTTTCTGTCTTGTTTACTTTTGCTCTGACCTTTATTATTTCTTTCCTTCTGCTGAGTTTGGGCTTAGTTTGTTCTTCATTTTTTTCCTAGTTCCTTGAGGTGTGACAGTAAGTTATTTAAATCTCTCTTCTTTTGTGATGTAGGCATTTATTGCTATAAACTTCCCTCTCAGGACTGCTTTTGCTGCATTCTGTAAGCTTCGATATGCTGAGTTTTCATGTTCATTTATATTATCTCAAGACATTTTAAAACTTCCCTTTTAATTTATTCTTTGACCCACTGGTTGTTCAAGAGTATTTTGTTTAATGTTCATATATTTTCAAGTTTTCCAAGATTCCTCCTGTTATTGATTTCTCATTTTATGCCAATGTGGTCAGAAAGATACTCAATATAATTTCAACCTTCTTACATTTGTTAAGATTTGTTTTGTGGCCTAATATATGACCTATGTTCTGTGTACATTTGAGAAGAATGTGTATTTTGTTGCTGTTGAATTGCTCTATAAATATGTGTTAAGTCCATTTGGTTTAAAGCATAGTTCAAGTCCAGTGCTTCCTTACTCATTTTCTGTTTAATCTAATGTTGAAAGTGGGGTATCAAAGTCTACTATTATTGTAATACAGTCTATCTCTCCCTTCAGATCTATTAATATTTGCTTTATATATCTAGGTGCTTTACGTTGGGTATACATATTTATAATTGTTATAACTTCTTGATGAATTGACTCCTTTTTATCACATAATGACTTTGTCTCTTTATAGTTTTTGACTTAGAGTCTATTCTGTCTGATATATGTATAGCTACCCCTGCCTAATCTCTTCTTGAAGTATGTTGTTTATTAAGCTGGAATCCTTCATTTAGTATACATTCAACAGTGTATTTGTCCTTGTTATATTTCATTCTCTTTACCCAATCTATTTTTTCTTTTTAATGTTTAATTTTCATTAAATATGCGTATGGAATACATGTCATATTTCAAGGTAAAATAATAACACCCATGTGCATACTACCAAACTCAAGAGAACATTATTTGAAAATGCTGTGCATCCCTCTGTGATCATACCCTACTCCTCCTCCTACCACAAGGAACCACTAGTATAAAATGTACTTTTATCATTCTTCTTTTTAACTTTATTATGTCTGAATGGATCTCACAATGATTGTATTAAATGCTACTGTACTTTTTAAAAGAAATATTGTAGATTTCTACATATAAAGAAATTATACTGTACATATTCTGTAACTTGCTTGTATCACTCAAAATATCCCTTGTTTTATTTGTCCAGGCTGCTAGATGTAGCTGTAGTTTGTTTATTTGTACTATAGAACGGCTCATACTAAAATATAATTTTGTAAAAATAATCATAAGTAGAGCAAATAATCTATGATCCAATTTCTCCATACTCTGACAACATAAATTAATTCAGGATTGGATTTTAGAGTAATTTAGAGAAGTGGTTCTTAAAATGTTTTGAGTAAAATACCACTTTGAAAATCTGATCCAAATTTGACCAATTTCCCCAAATATTAAATTCTCAGAATTTCTGAGTTAACACCCAGTAATTTATAAGTCCAGTAATTTATAAGTACCTTGTAAAGCCAAACCACCAATGCCTTGGTATATGTAATACAAGGCTAAAAACTCATGGACTAGAGCAGTCATTGTGATTGTAGGTCTTTCATACAGTACTTGAAAACCATTTTCTATTAATGAGCATTCTGTAAGATGTTGAGATTAAGTGGAAGCAAGATTACTCCTCCTGCCAAGTACCTGCAGTAAATGTATTTTCAGCTGTAAATTAAATGCTGAACCATGATCTTGATTGTAGGTCTTTCATACAGTACTTGAAAACCATTTTCTATTAATGAGCATTCTGTAAGATGCTGAGATTAAGTGGAAGCAAGATTACTCCTCCTGCCAAGTACCTGCAGTAAATATATTTTCAGTTGTAAATTAAATGCTGAACCATGATCTGTTGAGCTAAGGTAGGATTCATTTCATTTAATGAAAACTGAACTTAGTAAAAATCTAAGTCTGAAATAGTCACTCTAGTTGCAACGTGAGGGAGTGCTTATCAACAATCACAATTTTCCTTGCAAAGCAATTTGGGTGCATTCTCAACACAGGGATAAACAACCAGAAATTCCATGCCAGGGAGTATGATTTAAAAAATTTAAGCCTAGAAAAAAAATTAAGTACTTCTTGGCCATTACATAAATCTAACTTAGCAAAGCATCCAGGAAGGTATATCTTACTTTTAAGCAATGTAAATTTTGATATATGTGATAGGTTATAATTACTATTCTCAACTCCTCACTCATCTCTAGTAATGTTATATATACCCACACCCTTGCCATGGACTCACCATAGGTAAAGTGCACATCACTGCTCCATGGCTTTGAGCTTGGCTATGTGACTTATTTTAGTAACAGAAGGTAGGAAAACATGTCAAGAGCAAAGAGGTCTTACCCTCTTGTACTCCTGCCTTTTGTCAAGAGAAGAAAATGTCTGAGACAGCTATTAGTCCAAGGAAGATGAGTAACAAATGAACCAGATCTGGACCTAAGAAACAGCTTAGAACCAAGCCCAGTCTGGCTCAGTATTTATCAGATGAACTCTAATCTCATATATGAGCAAGAAATAAAGCCTTAGGTTTGTAAAAGTTTAGGGATGCAGCATTTTTGTGGCAATTACCAACAGACCCAGTAGGTATAGGTTATAAGTTGTAAAATATAAATATCAATAACTAACTTACTCTAGAGATTACTGACTATAAATCACTAGGGGTTTATACATAAAAGGCTTACTTTTTTTTCTTCCTTTAGAGATGGCAGTATCACACCAAAGCAATAATTAATCAACCACTACTACTATGTTACTGATAGGTATGTTTCAGACTATTTCCCCATCTATAAAATTTATGTTCTAATAGCATCCTGGTGTATCAAAGGCAGGGAGGTAAAAGTGAAAAGTACTGATAAGAATTTGCCCTGAAATTATTTAGAATTGCTAATGCATGGTAATAAAACAGAGATTGAGTTTTAGTTCATTGTATTACTATTTCAAAATTCTCTACATATGAAGTATCCCTTACCATCCCCCTTGGTGAACTACGAAACAAATTATAGATGTTTGTAACACCCAATTCCATAAATAGAATTCTCAAAAACAACCTACACAAAATACTTAAGATAAATGTTAAGTGCAGGTAGTACTAGAAGTTCACTCATTTATTTTATGCATATTAAGTGCTTTATAAAAGTTACTAAGAACAAAAAGTAGGGTCTTTGAATCATAATTAAATTGGCATCACAACAGAAAATTATGTCAAATGTAAAGCCCTTCAACTAAGCTGGTAGTTACACACAGACCAACCATTTAATCCCAGATTCCATTTTCAATGTGTTCTACTAACTTTGCTTACTCATTAATCCAATTTTAGACATGTAAATGACCATCTCAGTATCACTAAGAGCCAATAAAAAATAAGAATACTAATAAGAGTACTCAATGATTATAGGTAATAAAGATAAGAAAGATAAGGTTAAGTTTCATTCACTATCAATGTCTACACAATTTAGTAGGGTAAAAGTTTAATTGTTCAAAAAAAGCTATCATACAAATTTCAATCTAAAAAAGCAGCTGCCTCTTTGATTTCTTTATCAAACTAGAGTATGTAAGGACACTGTAAGTTCCTTATTTAAAAATAATAAATTAATAAATTTATTTTGATTTTTATTGATTACTGTTCAAGAATAATCTGAAGTTCTGAAACTATAAATCTTTTCAATATAAGAATATTCAGAACTACATTAATTGGAAGATGCATCTAATATATAATTCTTTAGCGTAACACATAGTCTATCTCGTAGATAAAATATAATATGTAATATTATATATAATACATACCCTAGTATATATAATATATATCTATATTACTGCTAGCTTTGTTTTTACATGATTAACAAACTCCGAGGCATAGGTATAAAAGTATAAAATAAAATAACTAGCAATAGAATTAGTCCAAATGACCATCTCAAGAATATTTCAAAGTCTTACTTTCATTAAATAAAATTTACTTTTACATTTAATATTAAAAGTTCACATACCTGACGTTCCAAAAACTACATCCCAAGGGGAACTAATGGGTTGTTTTTCTCCTTTTGCTCCACCTTCTTTATCTGTACCTTGAATTCCAATGCCAGCTACAGTGCTCACCTTCTCAGCTTCTAGGTCAATCTACAGAAATATAAAAGATGGCTTTATGCAATGAATGCTACTCTTGCTTTTGTCTTCTGCTGTGTAAAGATTTTCAATAGACATATAGAGTGTACGTGCAACACAATGCTTTATTAAAAGAAAAAAAAAGGCTATTCAATTATAGAATGAACTTCTTACTCAAATGCACATTATCAGTCCCTTTCATTTCCCCACCTGTCCATTCCCACTTTTCCCCTCTTATCCCCTTCTCCCAGCATGCCTCCAACAGATGTGGCACTGACCTCATCTTAACTAAAAAACAACAACAAAAAAATTAAAGAAAATGAAATTTTAAAACACAGTGTGGCAAAACACATTTCTAAAAATTAAATGCACATATTTCAATTGTGCTCAGCTGGTGACTGATACACATTAAAACTTTTTATGTGCCAAGCACTGATCCAATAGTGAGCATGCCAACTAGTCATCCAGCCATGCTCATAGTAACTACATGACTATGATTTTAATATTTTAGAGAAAACAAAAACACAGATCACTAAGTAACTTTTTCAACATCCCACAATTAGTAAGTCAAGAAGCTGGAACCTAAATCCAGGCAGTTCCATGACACTATGTTGACTTTACTTCATAAACTGAAAAACTAATATATTCTACTGGGAAAATATATTCTGCTTTCATCTCCTGAGACCTTCTCTCCAGCATTTTATTGGGAAAATTTTCAAACACACAGGAAAGTTAAAAGATTTTTATAACAAACATCCATATACCTGCCACTTAGATTCTATTCAACATTTCACTTAATTGCTTTATTGCATATTTAATACAGCTATCAATAGAAAGAAATTTTCCTTATTTCATAGATATCTTACTCCCCCTAAGCTACAGCAAATATTAACCTTTTGGAGAAAATTTACATGTATTTAAGATTATGAGCATGACAAGAAACCCATCATCGCTACTAATGCTAAAAAGCAAGAGAGGTACTGGCCAGCAATACAGTAAAAGGAAACAGGAAAAACAGGACGTTTAAAAATCAGAAGGGAATTTGTTTTTGCAGACAATATGTTTACATAAGAAACAATCAAAAGATTTTGTCAGAAATGGACAAGCTGGTCCTAAAATTCTTATGAAATTGCAAGGGACCTAGGATAGCCAAAATAATCTTGAAAAAGAAGAAAGTGAGAGGACTTCTATGTCCCAATTTCAAACCTTATTAAACCTACAGCAATCAAAACAGTGAGGTACTGGCATAAGGACAGACATAGAGATCAATGGAATAGACCTGTCCATACATCTATGACCAACTAATTTTTAACAAGGCGGCTAAGGCTCTTCAATGGAGAAACAATAGTCCTGGATAAATGTTTCTGGGATACCTGTATATCCACATGTAAAAGAATGAAGTTGAACCCCTACTTCACACCATATACAAAAATCAACTCGAAATAGATCAAAGACCTAATTATAAGAGCCAAAACTAAAATACTTTTAGAATAAAACACAGGGGTAAATTATGGTGACCTTGGATTTGGCAATGGATTCTTACGACAACAAAAACATAAGCTACAAAAGGAAAAAAATGGACCAATTAGTCATCATCAAAATTTAAAACTTCTATGCATTAAAGAACACGATTAAATAAGCATGAAAGCAAGCAAAAAATGTTAAAAAGCATTTGCAAATCATATATCTGATGAAGGACCCGTACATAGAAGATACAAAGGATTCTTACAGCTTTATTATAGAAAAGACAACCCAATTAAAAATTTGGCAAAGAATCTTAACAGACACTTTTCAAAGACATAAAAATGGCCCATAAGCACAGGAGAGGATACTTGACATCATTAGTCATGAGGGAAAGGCATATCAAAACCACAATGAGATGCCACTTCATATCCAGTAGGATATGAAGAATTTCTAAAAGATAAAAACTAGAATTTTTGAAAAATAAAAACTAACAAGTGATGGTGAACATGTAGAAAATTGGAACCCACAGGTAAGATGGTGCAATTGCTATGGAAAATAATTTAGCAGGTCTCAAAAAATTCAACATAAAACACATGACTCTACAATACCAGTTCTAGGTAACTACCGTGACAAATGAAAATGTATGTCCGTGTAACTTATATATAAATGTTCACAACAAGATTATTCATAACAGCCAAAAATAACAAAATATACACAATAGCCAAAAAACAATCTAAATATCTATCAATGGTGAACTGATAGATAAAATATCATATATTCACACAACAGAATACAAAGGAATGAACTGACATGTTATTTCATACATGAACTTTTTAGTATGCAAAATGAAAGATGCCACATACAAGAAAACACATGATTCTATTTATATAAAATGTTTGGAAAAGGCAAATTTATAGAGACAGAAAGGAAATTAATAGTTGCCTAAGGATGGGAGGAGATAGGAACTATTTGTAATTGGTCACATGGGTTCTTACTTGGGGGATGAAATGTTTTAAAAACAACTTAATGATTACAGTTGCAAAACCTGTTAACTTTACTAAAAACTAATCAATTGTAGACTTGAAATGAGTGAACTTTATGATATGTAAAATACAGCACAATAATTTAAAAATATACACAAAACACTGTTGTACAAGATCACATACAAATAAAAATATATGGCCGGGCGCGGCAGATCACGAGGTCAAGAGATCGAGACCATCCTGGTCAACATGGTGAAACCCCGTCTCTACTAAAAATACAAAAAACATTAGCTGGGCATGGTGGCGCGTGCCTGTAATCCCAGCTACTCAGGAGGTTGAGGCAGGAGAATTGCCTGAACCCAGGAGGCGGAGGTTGTGGTGAGCCGAGATCACGCCATTGCACTCCAGCCTGGGTAACAAGAGCGAAACTCCGTCTCAAAAAAAAAAAATAAAATAAATAAAAATATACGCATCAAATATGCCACAATGGTTGCTTATGTATGTTTATGTAAGGGAAATGAGAGTAGGAGGGGGATGGGGAAGCAGGAAAATTTATAAATTAAATAAATTATTCTTAATGACAAGGATCTGCATGGAACAATAATGTTTGTGAGCTGTGAATGCAGGAGTATAATCAACTCAGTCCTCTGCAAATGAGGTCTTAAACAAAAATAAAACACAATAAATATTCTTATATTTTTGAAAGGAAAAATAAGAGACTTACACTACTTTCCATTTCTGCAGACACCATATTAAGTCATCATATAGAACAATTTCAGGTAACCTGAATTTGCTATTATGCTACTTAAATGCATAAATATTTGAAATGCAGCACATAGTCAATACTCCAAAACCCATTAAGTTGTAAAGCAAGAGAAATACAATTAAAAAAGGACAAGTATTCCCTGAATGCTACAGGCTATTTTACTACTTCAATACACTGTTGGATGTCTGGCCCCTCTGATGAATTATAGAAGCATACAACACCAAAAAGATAATGATAAAAAAATATTGATCATTAAGAACTTAGTAAAACCACTTTTCCCTAACTATACACCATAGAAACATTAGTCCTTTGAGAAGCTCTGCCTATAAAGGGCTCTCTGGTCAAATAAGTCTAGAAATGCTGCACAAATATTCCCCTCTTAATGCACTCAACAATACATTAGCATATTTAAGTCTGGAAGAAGAAAGTTCGAAGACTTTCAAAAATACTTCCGCTTTAACGTACTAACCCACAAAATCTGTTTTTCATGTAACACTTTTTTATATTAAGAGGAATACACACTTTTGAAAATGCTTCATGAAACAGATATTATTTGCTCACAAATTTATCCAACAAACATCTGTTGAATACCTGCCATACATAGGCCAGTTCTTTTCTAGGTGCTAGGATTCAGTAGCAGACAAACATATTTCTAGGCCTCAGGGAGACTTACACTACAGTGTATTTATTATATATTCTATGTATTTTTTTCTATCATGTATATAGGTGATTATGTTTTCAAATAAATGAGGTTAAATGTCAATATTGAAAGAAAAAGTGAGAAAAGCAAGAAAGTATCTGAAACAATGTATTTAGACAGGATGAGTATGATGAACTTGGCTATTTTACAAACATATGGCAACGTAAAGACCAATGGTTTAGCCAAAGCAACCATCAGTAGGAAATGTCTGAAATAACTGAGTACATCTACAATGGAGTGTGATATAGTCATATCACTCATGTGACTAATATGGAAAAAATATAGTTAGAAAAACCTGCAAAACATTATGTATGCATAGCATCATTATACTTGTTTTTTAAAAATTCTCTAAAGTCTTTTTAATATCAATTTATTTTTATAAGAATAGAAAATTTCCAAAAAGACACACTTTAACAGTGGATGACTACCTCTAGTGAACTGGAACTGATGGTCAGGGGACTTTTTTTTACCTTTACGTATTAGCTGACTTTTTCAAAATAAGAACACATATTACTTTTATAGTAAGATAAAACAAGTTTTAAGACTAATTGGCTAATAATCAGTATTTCCAGCCAAAGCATAAGAGTTAAAGAGAAGCAGGAGAGGTATGACTTTTTTTTTGTATTTGAGAAAATTTAACTGAAAAAGGGCAAAGGATCATTATAAGCCAGCAGTTAGAAAAATACTTCAAAATGAGGAGCTTTTGAGTGATTAGGCACACAGATTTGAAACAAAGGGTTAAAAAAAGTACCGAATGGGGTTTTCTTCTGTGCCAACTACATACTGACACAAATAAAAAGAGGATACTTGAGAATAAAACTAAAGTACCCCAAAAAAAGCAGAACAAGGACACTGACATACAGAAGCATCACCCTTTAACTACAAATATTTAATGTAGCAAATACATATCACTTTTCGGATTACAAGTATTAAAACTTAAATTTAAAATGAAAAATTACCTTTCTTATAAGGTGGTTTTCAGTGTCTGCCACATATATGGTATTATTCATTATGGCTACACCCTGTGGAGAATTAAAAGTTGATTCTGAAAATATTCCATCTTTTCTTCCAGGGTTGGGTCCTAAAATAAGATGAAATTTCTCACTTAAGACGTGATCTCAAGGTAAAACAAAATAAAACTTGTATTTAATGCTAGGATTTTAATATAAATAACATGATATGTCCATCTAAAAACTAAAATGTTCCCCATGGAACATTTTTCTCAAGAGTGAATTTGCTAATGATAGGGCTCATAGTATAATTACTAATGCACTTAAGCATAGTAGCATAAATCAGAAGAAAATAATTTTAAAAGCATTCTAATTATCCATTACCTAGACTACAAAGATTTAAAAATAATTTCAATTGTTCAGCAGATGAACAGTTTCTAACAATTTTGAAAGCTATGCTCCTTGGATAATACAAGGAAAATTAGCCCTAGAAAAATACACATGGCTAAATTGTTGCAAACAATCCTAGATCCTGAGGACCATTCAAGCCTTTCTTAAGAGTCCAAGGACCCCAGATTAAGAATCCTTCTTAGCTACTATTTCACTTTGTCACAAAGTCCGACCATATATCATACACACTATAAGAGAGAGTGATTCTAGTCCACTTCTCAGTTTTTACAATTCATGTAGAGTTTCAAGGGTGGGGAGTATAACACAATAAAATATCACTGTTATTTCCATGGCCAGCAGACAAGCCATTCAAGGCCTCTAAACCAGCAGTTCAAACTGTTTGTGGAACTCCATTGTCCTAGGTGTCCATAAGAAAGGTAGTATAATATAGCAGCTAGAAAACAAACTCAGCCGGGCATGGTGGCTCACTCCTGTAATCCTAGCACTTAGGGAGGCTTCAGGCAGGCGGATGACCTGAGGTCAGCAATATGAGACCATCTTGGCTAACATGGTGAAACCCCGTTTCTACTAGAAACACAAAAATTAGCCGGGCGTGGTGGCGTGTGCCTGTAATCCCAGCTACTCGGGAGGCTGGGGCAGAACTGCTTGAACCTGGGAGGCAGAGGTTGCAGTGAGCCAAGACAGTGCCATTGCACTCCAGCTTGGGCAATAAGAGTGAAACTCGGTCTCAAAAACAAACAAACAAACAAGCAAACAAACAAATTCAAGGCCTGGCACAGTGGCTCACACCTGTTATCTCAGCACTTTGGGAGGCCGAGGCAGGTAGATCACTTGAGGTCAGGAGTTTGAGACCAGCCTAGCCAAAACAGTGAAACCCAGTCTCTAAAAAAATATGAAAAATTAGCCACCTGTAATCCCAGCTACTTGGGAGGTGAGGCAGGAGAATTGCCTGAACCTGGGAGGCACAGGTTGCAGTGAGCCAAGATCATGCCACTGCATTTCAGCCTGGACAACAGAGCAAGACCCCATCTCAAAAAGAGAGAAAATGAACTCAAGAGCCCAGCAGACCTGGTCTAAATCCCAGGTCTATCTCTTCCTAGCTGATGATTTGGGCAAGTCCTTTGTGTTCTTCTGTAAAATTGAACTAATAATAGTAAAATTGAACTAACTCATAGCATTGTGCAGGCAAAAATGAGTTCACACAAGTAAAGTGCTTCAAATAATGCCAGACATACAGTGTTTGCTGTAACTATAATTGTTATTAATACTATCATTGTCATTAATATCAATAAGAGTTCCCTGAAAAAAAAGGGAGGGTTCTTTGGTCACATGAGATTGGAAAATACTGTGTACTATACCCCTTCATGAGGAAAATTAGCTGAGCAAAAAATTTGAGAAATATTATGATACCATCACCAATAAAAATCTGTTAGATAACATTAAACCTGAGTGTATCTGAGTATATCTGAGTATTTCTTAAGTGTATCTGACCAAAGAATTATTTTTTAAAAAATTAAAGAATAACTATGTCAAAAGGTAACAGTATTTCTAGAAATACGTTTGGGTAGTGTAGCTTGCTGCTGGTTTCTTCTTAAACAAAGAATATTCATTTACACTATTTTGAAAATTACAGAATCTATTAAATACTTTAAATCACTTAAATTCATGCTGCTACAAAAGACATTTTTTGAGTAACAATTCAATTCTCATAACTGCCTATCAAAAATCAAAATACCAAGTAGCCAAAACAAAACAAATACCACAAAACACAACACATACCCTATCTTGGCATATTAAGAATAACATCAGGGCACAGGAATACAACTAGCTTTTTTAATATTAGGAACTCAGACATTCCTACTTTACGTACTAATGCTGCATATATTACTAAAGCAGGACTAACTACAAAAAGATATGAATTACTTTTGTCTTTGACTAACATGTTGTCAGATGTCAGTTCAGCTTACATAAGCAGGATTAATAAGAATGTACTCAATAGAGTTTATTGACTATGTATATGTAGCCAAGAGGTAGTTTCAGATCTAAGAGCAGGGAGATATAAGACAAAATGATTTATGCTTCCATGATACTTACACATTATAAGTATCACGCTGCTACACCTATTTCTATTCTGGGAGTAGATCCAGAAACATGTTCAAGTTCTTATAGAAGAAAGGAGAGAAAATTATATACAAATTCTGCTTATCTATTTTATAATCTACTTCTCAAGTTCATGCGGCACTGACATGCTCTTTAAAAAGATAAGGCTGTACTTTTTTGGAAAGTGAAATACAATTCCACTTAAAAATGTCTGAAATCGGCCGGGCGCGGTGGCTCAAGCCTGTAATCCCAGCACTTTGGGAGGCCGAGGCGGGTGGATCACGAGGTCAAGAGATCGAGACCATCCTGGTTAACATGGTGAAACCCCGTCTCTACTAAAAATACAAAACATTAGCTGGGCATGGTGGCGTGTGCCTGTAATCCCAGCTACTGAGGAGGTTGAGGCAGGAGAATTGCCTGAACCCAGGAGGCGGAGGTTGCGGTGAGCCGAGATCGCGCCATTGCACTCCAGCCTGGGTAACAGGAGTGAAACTCCGTCTCAAAAAAAAAAAAAAAAATGTCTGAAATCTAAAATGTCTATGTTTTCATAAGACACAGTAAGTATGGCAGTTTTTTAACAAAACAAGATTGAATATGTAAATATACCTAAAAGCTGAACTATTTCCTCTTTTTGACCTGGAGCTTTTTTAGTGTTTCTGCTTGTTTTATGAGGGAGTGAGAAGAGGTTAATTCAGATATCATACATTAATTAACAAAAAATTTGTGTTAGGAAGTTAAGTCCATGTATATCACCTTTCTATAATTAGTTTTCATTCATTTCAACTTTTATATTTACCTGAACTATTTTTTTACTGAAAACATATTATATATCATAACCAGAAGCAAAATTTACCTCCAATGCTATATTGAATTTGTCCATTCTTCCAAACGACCAAAATTCTATGATGTCCAGTGTCTGCTATTACCAATCTATTAGTAACTTGGTCTACTGTTACTTTGCCAGGAAATAGCAATGGTGAAGGTGGCAAAGAATCTTTATAGAGTTTTATTCCAATTTTATCATCTCTGATCTGTCCCCTGTCGTTGTAATACTTTAAAGCAATTGAAGTATATAAAAATAATTTGTCTTTGTGTCCCTCGCCAATCAAAGAAAACAACATGTTTCCTCGAGGTCCAAGTATGACTAAAGTTGGCCAGCAGGAAACTTCTAGTTCTTGCCAGAGGCCGGCATCTGCATCATTAACCACAGGGTGGGTGATGTTGTATCGAAGAACGGCACTCTTAATGTTATCCAGGACTTTTTCATTTGGAAACTTAGCCGAGTGAACACTAATAATGAGAAGACCATCTGAAAGGAAAAAATTATATGTAAACATTATTAAATATTTAAGTTCGAATATCATCATCCACACATTAGGTTTTAGGTCACTAATAAATATTACAAGTCCTTAGATTAAAAAAAAAAAAAATGTAGAATTACACTGGGATCTTCAGCTGCATTTTAACACACATATAAAAAAGTAACAAATTTAAATCTCATGACAATCTTATTACGTAAAAACAAATATGATTAAATTCATATGGCTATTACAGAATTAAAACCCTTTTTTTCTTTTATTTAGATAACGCTATAAAAATCATCTTTATTTTCTTATGAAATGCTGAAATTTTTTCCACCTATAATAAGTCCCTTTGAAATTCAGAGTTGACTATGCTGCTTTTGGGAGGTATTTACTGTTATATCACTCTCTTATTTATTTTTTAATCTAACCTTACATTATAGAGTAAAAAAATAAATATAAGCAAGATGTTTTCATAATATAAGGCGTTTGATTTATTTAAAATTCTTATTGTACGGTTCTTAAAACAAATCTTTCTGTAGAAAGAACTGCTGAAAACAACATACTTCTTTAATCAATACATTATTTCAAGAAGTTAATACCAAAAACAAACAAACAAACAAACAACAAAAAATAACCACCTGTTAGGCTGGATTCAATGAAAAAATTCAATATTGACTACCAAGGTAGCAGAGATATAATTTCCAGGCCAACTCGTACTTCTATTGCAACTATTAATTCTGAAACATGCTTGAAGACAGAGAATAGTAAACGTGACCAGGTAGATTGTACAGGAGGGTCAAAACTCAGAAAAGCAAATGACAGAAGAGTGAGCTGCCAATTTTATTTTCCTTTTCCTAGCTTTGCCCTGAGAGTGGGTCCCAGTTTTGGAGCTGCATGAGGCACTAAAATTCCAATAGAAACCCACTGCAATTCTGGCTCAAGAAACCATGTAACCACCACGTAACCCGGACAGTGTGGGAGAAGCCTGAGGGGAAGAGAGCTGGTGAAGGCAACTCCTTATTTCTGAGTATGAACACTTAGAAGTCTTAGTTTAACCTCTAAACGACAGTGCATGGAACAGATTCAAAAAAGTATAGCAAATGCTTGGAGAGCTGAAAACTGAATAACCGGGTTTATAGGAGAGAGAGCTGATGGAAGATGAGACAGAAGTTGTAATTTGAACTAAGAGGGCTGAATGCCTACTAAAATAAAGCTACCAATATTCCCTAGAGGACTATAACAGGACCCATATCACGTTCCAACGACCAGGATACAATCCAAAGTTACCTGACAGTAAAAGAAAAGAACAAGGGAATATGGTCAATTATCGAGAGACAGAAAAAAAAAAAAAAAATCAAAAAAAAAAAAAAAAAAAAAAAAAAAAAAAAAAAAAAAAAAAAAAAAAAAAAAAAAAAAAAAAAAACAATCAACAGGTATCAATGCCAAAATAAGGCAGATGTTCAACTTATCAAAGACTTTCAAACAACTAGATAACTATGCTCCATGAGGTAAAGAAAAACACAAATAAGTAAAAAGATAGGAAACATAAACAGATAAATGAAAAACTATAAAAAATAACTAAAAATTTTAGAAGTGAAAAATACCATAAGTTCACTGGATGATCTCATTGGCAAAAAGGACATGACAAAGAAAAGGTTAATGAACCTGAAGATAGCTCAACAGAAATGATCCAATCTCAAGAACACAAAGAAAGATTGAAAAAAATAAATAAACAGAACCTCAGGGACCTGTGGAACAGTTTCAAAGTATCTAAGTACGTATAACTGGAGTTCCAGAAAAAGTGAATGAATAGATTGAGGTAGAAAAAAATAAATGAATAATGCCCTAACTTTCAAAATTTGATTAAAAATATAAATTTAGAGAATTCAACCTCAGCACGCACCAAATAAAAAAAATTAAAATCATATCTAGACAAATCATAAACTGTTGAAAACCAAAGTCTACACACACACACACACACACCTCCCTTGAAAGCAGCTGAGAAAAAAGATGCAGTAAGGAATGGTTGCCTGAGGAATGTGAGTAAAGGGGAAGTGGGAAGAACTGCACACTTGTTACCTTGGGCAAGTTACTTAACCTGTTCATTCGTTTTCTCATTTGTGAAATGAGGAAAATAACAGTAAATGCCTCATAGGTGAGGCAGATTAAAAGAGATAATCTGTGTAAGGCATTTAGCATAGTACCTAATGTAGAGTAAAATCTCAACAAATTTTGCTATTATTATTTTTTTAAATTGTAAGTACAAAGATAACTAATAAAAGATAAATGTAAATATTTCTAAATATCAGAAGAGATTAGAAAAATAAAACAGGAAAGGAAGTGCATCATGTTAATAAACACAACAAGTATCATCAAATACACATAATACTTGTACATTAACAGTCATATGAATAAATACCAATGGGCTTAACTTTTAATTATTAAAAGATCTGGGTAAATTCTATATATAAAAGATACATCAAGTGAATCGGAAAGGCTAAAAATAAAGGGATAAAAAAGATATGCGAGGTAAATGAAGGCAATAAGAATATATGGGTTGTAGATCTCCTCCTTCTGCCTCTCCAAACAGTGTTTTGCTCCACTTCGTTATCTAAACTGAAGCTTGTATGGGTTTCAGTTTATCCTTGTAAATTCTAGCTCATGTTTGCACATTCTTTCTGGTTTACCCTTGTTCTCTGCTACTTTATATCCACCTTTCCTTTTCAACTGCCTGATGTGCCATCAGGAGACATTATTCGCCAATAATTACAACTTTAATTCCAAACCAAACCACAGGTACATATGTACGCAAACCTCTGCTTGAAGACTGTGAAAAGTCAGAAAACTCAGGTAGGCTGCAGGAGCACACAGAAGCAACAGCCTCACATACACTAGTTAGCCATGTAGCTCCGCAATGACATAAGGTTAACTACCTGTAATGAATCCCCTATTAGTTCATTCATTATTATCCCTAGTTAGTATACTTCTCCAATCAAACTGTGACTAATAATACCAAAACTCTACATCCTAGTTTTGGTGTTAGCTCTACATGTGTAAAATCTCCATCCATCCTTAGCAGTTTCCCTACTCACCCCTGGTTCCCTAGCTCTCCCTATAGCAGATTCACCAGAAAGAGCACAAGTGCGCAATATTTTCTGAGTTCTTGCACAATTCAAACCGTTTTTCTTTAACCTTCATTGATTGATTATTGAAGGACAAATGGTTGGATATAATCTTTTTTGGTTTTATGGTTTACACTCATTAAGATTCCTGAAATGATACTACTGTTGCCTTGCTTTGTACCTTATTTATGAAAAGCATGGCCAGTCCAACTTACATGTCTTTGTAAGTTATCCTTTTTGTTTTACAATGTTTAAAGTATAATAATTTTATTCGGGTACTTCTTGGACTGTTCTGGGTCAATTTTCCCTGGTACCTAGTAGACCCTATCAATTTGTAGATTCAAGGTTTTTCTTTCCTGGAAGTCCTCCTGGATTTGAATTTTAGATATTTGTTCCAGTCAGCTGTTCTCATTTTCTTGAGGGTCTCCAAGTAGTCTTATGTTGGACCTCTTCTGCCTGTTTTCCAATTCAATTATTTTTTAAAATTTTTTCTTTTTTTTTTTTAAGCTCATTTTCATTCTCTGGAGTTTCATCTCCTGCTTTTCTTTAACGCTCCTCATTAAATTTTTATATAAATTTATTGTCCCTTGGACATCTTGTAATTTAATTTTTATTTCTAATACAATTTTGAATATGTCTTCTCTTTTCTGCATTCAATGAATACTCATTTCCTTTTTTCTTTTTTGTCCATTTCTTAGTTTTAGAATTTTTGATTCAAGCAGTTTTTTTCATTATTCCAAAATGCTGATTTAGGAATATTTAATCCAGTATGAATATTTAATCCAGTATGAGGACTGTGTTACAGTTTTGCCAACTTTGTGATTATTAGAGACTCTGTATCAGCATTTTCAGCTTTTTTTTGCAATATTTTTATATAGATATGATCTTTTTTTCTCTTCTTCTTCATTTTGTGAATAGGGTTCCTAGTTTGACAGCACCCTCTTCTGACAGTTCCCTTTTTCTGGGCAGTTTCATTTATGAATAGCATTGGTGGAAGGAGGGATTGGTACAACTTCTCTTTTGTTTCCATTACAGCCTTAGCTTTTCCCTCATAGTTCCTTCTTTCCCTTCGGTGGCCTATCTCCAAGGGAAGCCACATCTTTCCTATATAGCTGATTATCTCCCAGAAGCAATGCTTCTCTGAGGCTTTGATTCCTAGTCCTGCTTTCTTTTAAGAGCTGGTGATATGGTCTAGTATGTCCAGACCTGTGTTCTGTATTTTATATTTTGTATTGGAATTTCTCTTTCTGGGGGTAAGGAGACTGGGGGTAATTTCTCTTTCTGTTTGTGGTTTGTCTACGTACTCTGAACCACTCTAGTGTTCTCATGGAGTCTTTTAAGTCTCCCCTATACTCGTACTTGGCATCCACAGACTTACAGCAATAGAAACTTTATGGGAATTTAGTTTATTTCTGAACTTGTATGTCATGTGAAGGCCATGATATTCTCTGTCTCCTAGGATTGTGAAATGCAGGGTCAAGTGTGGTTTTACTTGCTCTCCTTGTTTTTTATTGCTTGGAACAGAGGGGAGGGCCAGTGGGGAGATTCAAGATCAGGTGGCCACCATCTTCCTCCAAACCCAGAAGTAGCAGAGATAAATTCTTTTTAGTCATTAGGTTTAACATATAATTATTTAATCTTTCATACTTTTGTTCATTGATTAAATTTAACTGAGTATAAAACCAGAAACTGGTATAAAAACAGAAGTACAGTATAAAAGTAGTATAAAATAGAAGTATTTCCAATACGATAAAGAACATGGAAAAAATGCCTACTACCTCCTTTAACAATAAACTGGGGTGGGTGAGGATTAGCCAACATAATTAGAAAAGTGAAATCTATTAGAGGCATAAGACTGAAAAATTTCTATATGTAGATACAAT